ATTATTATTATTATTATTATTATTTCTATTATTATTATTATTATTATTTCTATTATTATTATTATTATTATTATTATTATTATTATTATAGGATAATAAATTGTATACTCAAAATGAAAGGGAATTTGAAGTGTCTTGGGCACATCTTGGTTTCGACCCTGTTTGTATTCCTCTGAATTCGACCTGCGAATACTGTGCTTTTCGCTGCAATTGTGCGTAATAATTTGCAGTACGGGCACAATAACTATTAACTCACAGAACGATAAATGCTTTTGCCAACGGACCACCTCACTTTCAATGCGAACAGACCTGTTAACAACAGCAGGAAATGACACGTGTCGAAAGCGAAAATGAACCGGAACAAATCTCTTTACTTAACTAAATTGGTTGTTGCATCGCTATTTTTGCTGAATAACGCTTAGGTATTCGTTAGTGTGCTTCAATCAGTGCCTCTTACCTGCTGTGAGTGAAGTACCCCATACATACGCTGACTCCTGAGGCAACATTTCTGCTCGTCATCTTCAAAGTCTCTTCAGCAAGTACTCTTTAGTCCGTTATAGTGTGACTCTTGTTGAATCTGTGCGGACCTCAAATTTTTAATTGAAATATCATTAAAAGGAGTTATGGTTCTTGAAATAATCACACTATATTGAGTGTTAAATTGTATTTCATAAATATACACAATAATTACAATCACGTTGATAACTGAAGGGAATGTAGTTAAAATCTTTCGAACATTAGGTTGTTATCCTGGGTGTCGGGAAATGAACTACCAATTTACGGGAATGGACTAGAAAGTTAATTGCAAATCAGTCGTATTTTGTTGTGGGTAAATGTAGCACACAGTTCAACGTAATGTGTACTTTTACCTGAGCAATATATGAAACTTAGTTTAGCAATTGAAGATTTAAATAAATAAATAAATAAATATATCATGTAGTATAATTAATGTTAAGCACAGTTCAGATACATTACCGTGCGAAAATGATAATTCGGGGCAAAATTCTGTTTGTGATGTCGGAGATATGGTTGTTTTGAAAACCCAGACCCTACATATAAATTATTTAAAGATAATTCAATATTTGTACGTCCTTAAATTGCACACGGGAAGTAAATAATTAAATAAATACGTACGTAGCACTTGCTTTTCTCGTCAAATGCTTCAGTTTTTTAAAGCAGTTGGAAATATTGTCAACGCGTAGAAGTGTCAGTCATTAAATATCCTGTAAACTCAATTTTTGTCGAGTTCTATTACAGAACATAATACCATTGCATTGTTAATGTGGCCACTCTTTATGAAAAAGATGACTCTAGTGATAGAAGTGATGATAACTATGAACTGTGATATCAGAAAGTTACGTAGTAAATGTGACAGTAAACACATGTTGCAGTAAACGTGAATCTGTGAAAGTAGTAACACTAATGGTGTAGAAGTAATGGTAGTAACTCCTGAATTCACATTAAGAAAGACTAGTTGGGTTGACATTTCGTCTTGGTCAGTCTGTTTCAATCGGTCAGTCTCGTCACCAAAGAAACAGCAAAGTTATTTCGCGTCGTGTAAACTCGTCAAATAACTATTTATGTCTGTTGTACTCATTATTCGTGCTTTTGTATTCTCATGAACTGCATGTCTTTGATTCAGTGTATGAGTGAATCATGAGCAATTTTTTGTAAATTCAGGTACATTGGATCAAAAATACTTTTGATACAGAGATTGACGTCTGATACAAGTCACCAGTCAATGTCTTTGAGGTCTACATTTAAATTAAAAAGGCTAATAGTTTGCTATTCATTTTGTACAGTATGCCAGAGCGCTCCTCATTTCCGGAATCTGTAACAAGGGAACAAAATTATTTTGTTGATAGTAAATTCAATATGGATCAAGAACAATACGGGTTTAGGAATTCAGATACAAATTTAATAAAAATAGATTACGTCAAATTTTCAGTAGACCTGTGTTATTTTCTGATCCACATTACATTTTTCAGGGGAAGAAGAAACAGGGAGAATATTTAAAAATCTAAAGAACTATGGATAAACATTGGAGTACATAAAAAATTACTGCTAAAGGGCAAGGCTTTTGGAAATATAATAGCATCACTTTATGCAGGTCAATTATGTTATAACTACAGAATTACATTCAAAAGAGAAAAAAAGATGATTCTCAAATGTAAACAATGGAGTTAAATAATATAAAAAGTAACCCATAAACACTTTTAAGGATTTTTTAGATTTTCGTTTTGACAGGATCTTCCAGCATTCCGAACTGCCCGTCTTAATTCCGTCTTTGTTAATGTGGAGGGGAGAAGTTGCACTAGGTACATAAGGGAATAAGCGTCATACTCACTGAAGATCGTAAGTTTTTTAATTAAGAAACATTCGCAGAATGAATAATCCTTATTCCGTTTCAATTTTACTACGTAAGGTTCTAAAGATAAAGATACTAATCGTGGGGAATGTAAAACAATGAAGTTGCGCAACACCTCACGTGAGAAAAAATGGTGATAACCTAGACGCAGACGTAATAGGTGATAACCTACATGCGGAAGTATGGAGGCAAATTTAAAGGGGAAAATGGAGTCTTTAAAACAGTTTAAAATTGCCTGTATTTCACGGGAAAACAACTCATATCTGAAAAATTTTACGTGACATTATTTTCATTTCATTAAGAGATATCATTAAGGAAAATATCTCAATCTTCTATATTGTAGTTGTAGAAAGACGCAAAAATATTTTTAACTTTTGCAATTTTCGAAAAATCACGGATTTTAACGAAAATTAAACTTGCACCATTATTTTAAAGATCCTTTACGTTATTTGAGGTCAAAGTTCAATCAAAAATGCTAATTAAAAATCATGCTAATTTTATTTAGCAATAATGCAAAATAAATTAACAAATTAATAAGTTAAAAATTATCTGTTACGGACGGAGAGCAATTTTAACACATAAAACTACTTGTCTGTTAACCTTCTAACCTGAAAGTAGAACGTTCATGTTTTTGTATCACTCTTATATAAACATGATTACAATGTCAAGATACTTTTGATTAATTTTACTTTCGAATAAGAATTTGAAATCAGACTGATGTATTATTTCATTTCAATGGATCATTTATTGGCCTTTAAGAGAAAACAGTAATTAATATAGCAAAATTTGTGACAAAAACAGTCAAGTAACTTCTCCCAAAGAATATCATGGGCCAGATATCAAGTGACGTGCTGCCATTCGTAGCATTTGTACAACCCTTACTTTTAAATCTCGCGTCAATTACTCTGGATGCAGTGTCCGCGAACGCTAGTAAGCTTGTTGTCTTGCCGTTGACCTTGAAATGCCTGCTATATTCGTAACTCATTCTTGGACCGATCCAGGAAACAGTGTCAGATAAGTTCAAAGGAAATTATTTTTCCGCGTTCCAAGGTAGTCGGTTAAAACGAAATTATCGTAAAAATGAACATTCTTGTATCGAACTGTTTTGTAGAGAGGAAACAATTTAAGATATATTACCCAATGACATGAAAGGTGTGACTCAGAAAAAGCCGAAAACTGGGCTTTTAACAATTGGAAAGTGAAAACAATTGAAAACATTTACGCCGAGTCTAAGACTCTAAGAGGTACGAGTAATGCAGACTCGGGTTAAAGGGTTAAAATGACACTTAGTTAATCTGGATTCGGCAGTTACTCTAGAAATATAGCAAGAGCAATTTTCAATGTGCTAGGTATTTAAAGTTCACTCGAAACAAAGTAGCAGCAGATTTTTAATATACTGACTTTTCATTTGATTTTTCGCATATTGGCCCACACGGATCACGCGTGCATCCTGCTTTAGCAGGTGTAAGTACCTTTCTGGGGAGGGGAAAACAGCATTTTAGCTGAATCCCGATTTTTATCCCCAAAGGTTGAGGTATGAACGGTGAGGTGATGGTGACAGGGAAGGGTGAAACGACGGCACACACATATATCGACATACACAAATACACCTATGCTCGAGTCTGGTCTCGAACCCGTAATCTTCTGGTTCGAGACCGCTACGGCAATTCTGCTGTCTTTTTTTTACTAGAAGCTTCTTTTTATTTCCTTACGTTTAAATAAACGTGTAAAGTTTAAGAAACTAAATTTTCTTGAAAAAAAGCTACTAATTTTTTAAGACACTTTAGAATTTGATAGTTTTTTGCCTAAAATGTCACATAAATATTATTGATATTGATCTAAAATATCTCATTATTTAAAACTGCAACTTATGAAATGTGCGATCTGAAATGTTTTTGCTGGCGAGTTTTTCCTTTCAAAGAATACCATAGGGGACAACTTGTCTCGTGATCATCAAACAAAGCTTCAATTTTCAGCAACGCAAAAAGTGTAATTAGCGACATTGAACTAGTGGTGGAACGAATGGCACGAACTTTCTCGTACTAGTTTATTTTCTAATTTCTTAGGTAAGACCTAACTTTTCGGTCTTATCTCATCTTACCAGCTGCCATCTCTCGCCACCCAAAGTACAGTTTTTTAAAGTATCTCATTTTTTCCGTTTTCTATTTGTAGAATCAAAATATTACTTTAAGAACAACATAGTAAAGTAAAACCTCGCCGTTCATGAACATTTTCGTTGAAAACTTTGGAGCCTTTTTAAGAATTTGCTCTCTAAGCGTTACTGTAAATGCGAAATTTTAAACTCTTTTTTTAAAGAAAATTTTTGAGTTTTGAAAAAACTTCATTCGAAGTGTTTTGAAGAATATCCTCTCATAAGTACAATAATTTGTAAAAGAAAGCTTAATATGGGCAACGACGAGAGAGGTGTTACGTAGAAAACACATTTGCGAAATGTTTGAAAAGAATACAGTAAAATGGCTTTTATGCCATCTTAAACAGTGCGTTTAGAACTATCCGTACAAAAGTTTGAAGAAAAACTTAAGAGTCGTTTTTGAAAGAATGGCATTTAAGCGTTTCTGAAAATGCTGAATTTTGAGCTGATTTTCACAGAAAACTTTCTAGAAAAGAGGTTTCGAGAAACTTTAAAAGACATTAGTTGGATTCGAGAGTCAACTAAAATAATTACATTTTTATAATTTTTGAAGAAAGAATAATAGAGCTAAATTGCGTTTAAGTCATATTATACAATAAATTTACCATTATAATCAAAAGTTTAAAGATAAAAAATTGAAGATTTTTTTGAGACATGGTTACATTTGTAATTTTTTAATATAACACATATTGTACGCAATTTTGAGCAAATAATACTAAACTTTTCAAGAAAATGTGCATGATATTAATGAAAGAACTAATCATGGAGAATAGGTTTCACTTGAAGGAAAAGTCTGACTTCAATTTTGTAGGACGAAAAAAATGTCAAACTTTCCAATTATTGGAAATTTGGAATTAAGAGTGAAAATCGAACCTATGTCATCTTTATAAATGAACTTTGCAATACTCTTACAAGAAATTTACAGAAAAAAGTTGGAACAGGTTTTATGAAAATTTTGAAAATGTCCCAGAAGCTTCATGTAAAGTACTCCCTAAAATTAAAGAATGTAACTAAAAATCGCAGATCTTAGAGTGGAGCCAGATCGATCGGGAAATATTTATTTTGGATAAAATCGTAGGAATAGTTTAGTTACTAGTGGACGGATGCAGACGCACGGACAGATGGAGGAATTGACAGACGGACAGGCGCCGGATGGGTGTTTTGAAAAACAAACAACACTTTTTCTATATCAAGGGACCCAAAAAGTGTATTTCTGTTGAATCTCGAAATCTATTTTATGCGGCATTACAGAACTTTCTCTCTAGAACGTGTATTAATCCAAATATATGTATGTATACAAAGAAAGTAAAAACTAAACATTTTCGATCAGGAGAATTGAATTGCTTTTACGATTTTTGTATGTCTACCGGCTAGCTTGTCGCGGTGTCTACCGGCTGTCTATTGATCTGTTTGTCGCACTGCCTGTAGGATTATGTTGGAATGTCTGTATGACTCTTTGCCGTCGGTCTGTCGGACGCACTCTTTTGTGTAGGATTCTATTAGTCTCTCTGCTGGATTCTTTCGGAAAGCTTGTTAGACTCCCTGCCGATTAGACTATGTCGGACTATGTGACGATCAGACTGCCTGTCACTCCGCCTAAATCTTTTTGCCAATCAGTATGTCTGTTGGAATGTCTTTGACACTCTGTCAACCTGCCTGCCGCTCTGTCTATTGGTCTCTCGGTTCGTCTGTTCATTCAGTGTTTCTATCAATATATCGGTCTGTCAGTTTCTCGTTCTTTCTGTTGGAATTTGATTGTCTCCCTCGACCAGTTTGTTGCTAGGTCTGCTTGTTGGACATTTTGTTTTGTGATCGGTCTGTCGGTCTATTTCTTGGACGCGCGAATAATCGATCGATCTGACAGGTGGGCGGTATTTCGATCAATCTGTCTGTCGATCTCATGGTGGCACTGTCAGTTTATCTGTCAAACTTTCTATCGACCTGTAGGTCTGTCGTTCTTTTTGCCGGAGAATCGTATCTCTCGACTTGCTTGTTTCTCGTGTTTTTTGGATCATTTGTCTTGTGGCCGGCCTGTCGGATTATTTGTTGGTCGGTCGATCTGACAAGTGGTCGATATGTCGATCAATCTTTTTGCCGGCGTCTCTATCACTTTGTCTGTCTGTCGTTCTGTCTGTCGTTCTGTCCACCGTGCTGTCCTTCGTTCTGTCCGCCGTTCTGTCCGTCGTTCTCTCTGTCGATCTATTTGATGTTCTGTCTGTTGGTCTGTCGGTCAGTCTTTCGTTCGGTCTGCCTGTCAGTGTATATCTCAGTCAGTTTGTCATTTCGTCGAACAGTCGACTTGACCGTTGGTCCGTCTGACAGTCTGTCGGTCTGTTGGTTTGTGGGTCTGCATATCTATCGGGCTGTTGTACGTTGGTCTACATTTCTGTGTGTCTAGCTGCGAATCGGAATGACTGTCGAATAATCGGTCTGGCCGTGCTCTGTCTATCGACTTTTGGTATGCTAGTCAGTAGATATGTCGGGTAGTCGGTCTTTGTTCTAGACCGTGTTTCTGTTTGTTAATCGTTCAATCTGTCAGTCGGCCTTTCTGACAGTCTGTTTTCGGCCTGATGGGTATGCCGCTCTCTCGATCTATCTTAAGGAGTCTGTCGGTCAGTCAATAGGCCTGCCTGCCGAGCTGTCTGTCGGTGTGTGTGTGTGTGTAAGCTTGTGTGTGCCAGTCGGTCTGTCCGTCAGTGTATCTGTCTGTCTCTCGGTCTCTGTGTTGGTCTGTCTTACTGACGGTTTGTCTGTCAGTCGGGCTATTAATCTGACGGACTGTAAGTCTGTCTCTCGGTATGCCTTTCTGTGTCTCGGTGTCTGTGTAATTCCGACTGTCTATCTCTCTGTCATTCCAACTGCCAGAAGCGTAACTACGTTCTTGAAGGTGTAGAAAGTCCAAATGAGGCCCTCGTTACCATCTTTGTTGGGATCGGTGTGGGTCGGTCCTCACTGGATACTCTTCATTTCCGCGCACTGGTTGCACCAGTCTCTACAGTCTCCTCCTCGAAAGTCTGTAGGCCAATTTGTCGGAGTATCAGTCATTCTGACTATCTATTAGTTGATTTTCTTTCGCACTGTCGGTCGCACTGTCACCTGCCGTCAGATTTAAGTCTGTCGGTCTGTTTGAATGTTCGTAATCATGGTTGTCTGTGCGTCTCTCAGTTTTTCTGATAGTCTGTAGGTCTATTAGTGAGTTAGTCTCTGTCAGTAGATCTGTGGATTGCTCTCTCTGTCGATCGGTCAGCCGATCAGTCTATCTGTCGGTCGGCCTCTTGGCCTGTCAATCGGTGCTGCCGTCGGTGTGTCTGTTGAACTGTCTGGCTTTCTTTAGATTTAACATTCTGTCTGACTGCCACTTTCTTGGTCTGTCTATCTTTTGTCTATTGATCTGTCGGTCTGTCATTTTTTCTGTCTGATTTGTCTGACGGATAACATTTGGTAAGTCGGCCAGTTTGTTCGTCGCTCTGTCAATTGGTCAGTCGGTCTGTAAGTTTCTTTGACTCTCTGTCGGTCTGTCTGTCGGTCTGCTCGCCAGTTTGGCTGCCGGTCTGTCTGCCTATCTGTCGGTCTACCTGTCGGGATACCTGTCGGTCAATCTGTCGGTTTATTGGCCGGTCTGTCGGTCGGTCTGCCGGTGAGTCTGATTGCGTTTCTGCCACGCTTTTCTGTCGGTCGGTCTCTGTGTTGGTTTATGGCTTTTGTTAGTCTGTCAGTTTTTCTCTCTGTCAGTCAATCTCTTTGGCTCTCAATCTGTTTGTCAGTCTGTCGGCTGTCGGTTTTTCTGTCTGTGGACACACGGGTTTGTCTGTGGGTCTGTCTGTGAGTCTGCTTGTGGGCCGTCTGTAGGTTAGTCTGTGAGTTTGCTTGTGGGCCCGTCAGTGGGTCTGTCTGTTGGCCTGCCTGTTGACCTGTCTGTTGGCTTGTCAGTTGGCCTGTCTGTTGGCCTGTCTGTTGGTCTGTCTGTTGGTCTGTCTGTTGTCTGTCTGTTGGTCTTCTGTTGCTTCTGACTGTTGATCTGCCTGTTGTCTATCTGTTGGCCTGTCCTGTGGTCTGTCTGTAGGTCTGTCTGTGAGTCTGTTCTGAGGGTCTGTATGTGGCTGTTTGTGGGTCCTGTTGTGGGGTCTGTCTGTGGCTGGTCTGTGGGTCGTCTGTGGGCTGTCTGGGGTCTTCTTCGTTGTCTGTGGGTCTGTCTGTGGGTCTGTCTGACTGGGTCTGTTCTTATGAGTCTGCTTGTAGGCCCGTCTGTGGGGTCTGCCTGAAGGGTTTGTCTGTTAGACTGTCTTTTGATCTGTCTGTCGGTCTTTAGGTCTGTCTCCCGATCTGTCTCTCGGTCGGTTTACTTATCGGCTTGTCTGTCAGTATCTCTGACAGTCGATTTGGCGGACTCTCTGTTTGTTTGTTGGTCTGTGTGTATGTTGGTATTATTCGCGGTTTATCTCTAGTATACATTAACCGATTTCGATGCGATTTTGACTAAATGGCAGAGCGTGTTGTCAGACATTATTTATGTCTGACATTATACTTTTTTAAATTATTATTTTCTCTTTTGTATTGACATATAAAATATGAAGGGGAAAATTTTGCCTAGTAAAATATTGCATGAACTTCAAAATTGGCATAATAAAACTTAATGTATACATACTCATAATATTACTAACTTAATAAGTCTCATTCAAATAGTTCTCTAAAATATGTTCATTGCAATAGGAATTTATATGACCTTGATTATACATAATATTCACAGCCCCTTTAGGCTGATATACTAAATGACAACACGAAATGGAAATTACGCCAACCCTAAAGGTTTTACGAATTTCATCGAATTCAACACATAAATTTCACAAACATAATTTTTAAATGTTATAGACAGTAGCCCATATATCAGGTAAACGAGTACTATTTAAAAATATTACAAAATATGTAACTAATAGAGAGTAAAAACACTAATAGAGAGTAATTTAAAATAATATTAAAAACGCCATGTAGCCCGTCGTTCTTGTATATTGTCTTCTGGTAATGTATACATTATGAATATTGTAAAAGTATGCTCCAAAGAACTGTATCTTTAATATCGAGATTTACTGCATGCTCATTTAAATTCTTGAGAACATAACATCTAATTCTGGGACATTTAAAAAATTAAAATAAATAAAGGCTAAGAAAATTTTTAATAAGATGACATTTTTAATAAGAATTTGGCAGACTTTTTCATGAAGAAATAATCTGCCCGAAATCTGTCGCTCATCCGGCATAACTGATCTTTTTTTATTAAAATGGTTCATATTTGATTAGAATTTGCCCGAGATGACCCATGCCTAGCAAGAATTCACTAGCCGTTCTCAAGAAGAAATACCCGTGTGCGTGTAATTAAATAATATTACTTACTTGTATGGCTAATAGTTTGTCAGCTCTGCCCGCGGAGAAACTTCGCGCACTACTCGCACAAACTGGCTGCCCAACGAGCAAACTTAAAATATAATTATGCTATGAAATGACCGAGCTAAGCCTGAAAGTTTTTGAGCCCTTTCCATGGAGGAACCACCGGCGCACACTCAATTGCCTAACCTAAAAATGCTTTCTGCCATAAAATGAACCATCGAAGCCTCATAGTTTGCCAGCCCTTTATAAGGAGGAACTAACTGCGCGCACTTTTTGTCCGCCTGACAAACTATGAAACTCCACCGTAAAATGACTGACGTATGCCTGATCTCCAGCCTTTTTCCCAGAGGAAGAACTTACGTGCACTCTGTTCTCCGCCGGGACTCTTGAATTAAATTCTGCCATAAAATGATGGATTCATGCCTGAAAGTTTGCCAGTACTTTCTACGGAGGAACTACTTGCGCGCACTATGTAGCCCACCGGGAAACTTGAATTCGGCCATAAAGTGATCGACCCAAGCCTGATAGTATACCAGTCCTTTTTACGGTTGTACTACTTGCGCGCACTCTGTAGTTCACCGGGTAACTTGAATTCTGCCATAAAATGATCGACCCAAGCCTGATATTTCGTCTCTTCTCCAGTCTCTTTTACGGAGTCTCCGTCAATCTCCGC